TTTGCTGAGCCTGGCAGTCCCCTCTCCTGATCCGATGTGCCTGAAGGTTTAATCGGGGCTCCGGTGGCGCAGGAGGGCAAAGCGATAAACGGCGCTGGCCGTGAGAGCTTGGCACAGCATGTTGATTTCATGGGCCTTGATGTACAAATGAGCTTGGTCTCCTCGGATCCCACCCTGGGCAGCTGGGGAGGGCTCGTCTGCGGCTACCCAGCCCCGTTTCCATCTTGAGTGTACATTTTGAACGGGCCCTAAATGTTTCCCTTGGCTAAATACAGCCCCAATTTCTATCTTATCAATAACCTGGTCTCATTCCCTCGCTTGATCGTGCAAGAGGGGAAGGCTATAGATTTTCCAGAATGGGGGAATAGTCCTCTTTCCCAGGCCTGAAGACAGAAGATGGGGACTTTGGTGAGCAAATGTGCCTGCTGAACTAAGGGCTTTTCTGTAACCAAGGGTCTAGTCCTCATGGTTCTGAACAAAGCAATGAAGAAGACATGGGAACATAAGTGTCTTCGGAGATGATGTTGACCCAGATGTTGGGGATTACGACTCCCATAATCTCAGACCAGGCTGGCCGTGGCTTTTGGGAGTTATAGTTTAAAACCCTTTGTTTGGCGGCACTAAATAGCTGCAGTTCCCTGGATTTTGGACCAGGTGGTCTTTTTCAGCCCTCCCTGAAAATATTGGGGGTTGGACTGGGTTCATGATTGCCCCTTAAATACTTTTACCAATCGGTTCATGCTGTCCCAGGCCCCAAACTGTGACAACCGACAGCCCTTTTGCTCTTTTACAACCTCTCGGTGCAAACATTGCCTCCGCAGGTTGTCCTGATTGGGTGCTCAGCACCATCTGACCTGGGGAGGGGATGGAGAGGAGACCACCAGGCTCGGCCAGGGCAAGGGACCAAAAGTGGGAACTCCCAGAGGAGAACCAGTCTTATTGTATAGGCAAAAAAAAAGAAAGAACAAACATGGATATGTCTGTGAAACTACTAGAGTCAGACTTTGCCATTTGACAACCTGAAGTCAAGATCAGATCAGATCAGATCAGATCTATTCTATTCTATTCTATTCTATTCTATTCTATTCTATTCTATTCTATTCTATTTTCTAATTCCTAATTCCTAATTCCTAATTCTTAATTCTTTCTGCCTTTTAGAAACGCAGCAAAATGCACATTCAAACCCTTCACCCCTAGAGGGCGCTCCAGACAATGCCGATGGAATGCTGGTCAGGTGGCCCAGAATTCTATCCCCGCAGGTCAGGTGACTGAGGGCAGCCAATCCGGTGTCACCGCCTGGTATAAATTCCAGGGCTTCGGTCCGCCCACATTCCAGTCTTCTCAGCCTGTAGGGAGGTCGCGTTGGAGGTCCTCCTCCAGTTTCCACCTTTCTCCTCATGTTTAGCTGCTGCCATGCAAACCTCATCTCTGTCTGGGGCTGTTGGCTGCTGAAGCCCGCCCAGTGTGCTGGGCATAGAGGCTGGGGGCTTGGGGGCGGGGCCTGTTGGGCAGGGGCGGGGCTATTTGCAGAAGCACCCGCAGCTGGTGGCCACCTGGTGCTCAGGGACCCTCAAAGGGGGCCACTTTCTATTCCACGCCCAAGGGCCTTTTTCCCAGCGGACCCCTCTTGCATTGGAGCAGGAAGCACCCAATCTGGATTTGGGGGGGGACCATGGAGGCCGGGGGCTGATCCAAGAGATCTTCCAGTAGAAGCCAATGTCAGATCTCAAGATCTCCAGAAGGTGGAGGAGATAGCAGAGCCCCCCCTCCCGGCTCCAACTCCAAATTACAGAAGCCAGGTTTAGACTTAGTTTCATCCTGGGCGATGCAAGGCCAGCACCTTCCCGACGGGCTGGCCTGCCCCTGAATCGCCTCCTGTGGTCATCCAGGGCCGGGGTGATTCGAACCCTGCTCGTATCAGGAGACACGGGCCAGCCGGCAATACGGTTTTTCAAAATCTCCCTGGCTGAAGAACGCAGGGCTGCCTCCCCGGTGTGCTGCAGAGAGCCGGGCAGTGCCAAGAGGGGGTTTTATGGTTTTGTCTGCAGGCTGCTGACGTCATCTGCCAGGACGCCGCCTTTCTCTTCCCCAGCCCCCTCCCCAACGTGGCTGGGGGCCCCGGGTCTCGCGGGGTCCCCCCCGCGCCGCTTGGCATCGGACCCCCCCGCGCCCACAGGGGGGGGAAGGGCGGCTTTTGGGGCAAC